TGAAGCTCAAGCGCTCGAGAAAGTCCAAGAAAAATAAGTCATTAATTTTATTTGGGACCACATAATATGCTGGTTCGGGATACCGATCGAGATCGTATGTGATAACGGGAAACAGTTCATCGGCAGCAAGGTAAGCAAGTTTTTCAACGATCATAAGATCAAAAAAATTCTATCCACCCCCGATCACCCAAGCGGAAATGGACAAGCAGAGTCCACAAACAAGACCATACTCCAAAATTTAAAGAAGAGGCTGACCGATGTCAAAGAAAAGTGGAAGGAAATTCTACCTGAAGTCTTGGGGCTTACCGTACAACTTCAAAATCCAGCACCGAAGCCACCCAATTTTTGTTGGTCTACAATGCCGAAGCATTGATACCGGTCAAAGTGGGGAAACCAGGTCTCAGGTACCAATATGCAACCAAGAAGTAAAATGATGAGGCCATGAGTACGAGCCTAAAACTATTGGATGAAAGATGGGAGGTCGTCCTAGTCCGGTTGGCCGCCCAGAAGCAGCGGATAGAAAGATATTACAATCAAAGAGTCAGTCTCCAACACTTCAAAATTGGGAACTTAGTGTTAAGGAAAGTGAAGTTGCATACCTAGAAAGCGAACAAGGGAAAGCTGAGGTCAAATCGGGAAGGACCATATCGAGTCATCGAAATTACTGGCAAAGGCTCATACAAACTCAAAGCAGAATACAACACACAACTACCGAACAACAGGAACGTGGAACACTTAAGGCGATATTATTGCTAAGGTACGTTTTCATTTACCTCTTTATAATATTACAAATCAGACTAACACTTGCAGGCATTGTCCAAGGGTAAGTATGACTATTAGGTCTGGAAGCACGCGTTGCACTCTTTTTCCTTTGAACTGGTTTGTCCCAAATGGATTTTCCAGCAAGGTTTTTAACGAGGTAATAGTGGATCGTTCTAACTTAGATTCAAACGCCAGTTTTAAATCAGAGTCAATGGTCGCATCAACAGTATCCGAGCCCTCTCAAGATTGACCTTGAATACTAGGGGACATCGCCCTCGAATTTGACTTCTTAGCAAGTAAAGTAAGCAACTTTGTGCTTGAACGGCTTAGGTCTAGTGGTTAGGATTTATTGTAAGGTACAAATGGTCAAATGAACCATGCTCGCATAGGCCATCGAAGCTATAATACAAGTTTTACTCACCTTCGATCATGTACTTTACATATAGAAATGAAAGAATTTTCCCACCTTGCTATTACATATCGTTACCTATTAAAGCATCGAGCCTAAGGGCTATCCCTATTTGGGGACTATCGAGCCCAAGGGCTGCCCCTACTTGAGCCTAAGGGATATTCCTATTTGAAAACTATTGAGCCGAATGGCTACCCTCACTCGGGGACTATCGTCCGAAAAGAAATTCGAGCAATTCGGGTTATCAAATCCCCGAAGCACAAGACATATTATGTAGTGCCTAAACCTAGAAGGCAATGACCACCCTAAAATACTGTTCGGAGACGTCCGAAGTCAGAAATCAAAATATAAGGCCTTCATAAAAATCCAAAACTAGCTATGAGATTACCCTTGGCAAAAGCATCGTCTTAAAATACTTAAGAATCTTGGGAAAAAACTCTGGTCACTCCGAATTTTCAAAGCGTCGAGCAAATACAGTTGCATCAAAGTCAGGCTCTGTCCGATTTTCCGAAAAATAAATGCCTTGTTATTATTACATCCGATTCTATACTAAGTCGTTAGAAACATGTACTAGAATTAGAAACTATGAAAAAATGCTCAGAAAGTGAAGACTCGAATTTGCCGAAAAGGGAAAATTTTATACATTCCGGAATGTCTTTACAAAGGCCCAACAAGAACGGCCTCAAAATAAACAAAAGATATATACAACAATACACAAACTAAAAAAATTCTCAGGCACTCATGCTTAATCTTCACCAGGCCTGATTCTCAATCAAAACCATTAGAGCCCCCCACGCTTTCGGGTTAGGAAAACTTCTTTGCGTCGACCTCTCGTCTTTTGGCTTCTTTGATCTCGACTGATAGATCGAAGCCCCGGGCATGAATCTCTTCGAGTGTCTCCCTCTGAACTAGCCGCCTCGTATATTCTGCATTGGTCTTCATGCGGGCCTCGACTACTTCGACATCGACCTTATACTGGGCCACCATATCCTTATCATCGATAGGGATTGTGCGTAGTTAAAACTTTATAGTTTCATATTTATTACCGAGGGCGTCCTGCTTCGTCATAGCCGAGCTCAGTTGCGCTCAGAGTTCAACATTTGGTTGGGACCGCTTATCGGCTTTCTCTTTCGCTACCCAAATTTGAACCTCTACCGATGCTAGCTGTGCCTGCGCGGTTTTCTTATTTGAAGCTAACCGATCCATTTTGATCTACAAATAATCGGCCATGGCTTGGACCTCGTTCATTTCAGCTTGGAGTTGGTCGTTAATCACCATGGCTAATTCCTTATTTCTAACTTCAAAAACCTTTTACCTTTTTCGACCAGATCGACATGTTCCTGCCTCAGGGTAGAAGCCTCTTTCTGAGCCCCAACAAGCTCGGCCTGAAGGTCCTTGATGGCCCTTTCTTGTTGCTCACTGAGGAGCCTATACTTATCCCTTTTGGGGGCCAGTTCCTTGACCTCGAGCTTAAGCTGATTAACTTCGGCCCGATAACGGAGAAAACCCTCGTGATGAAGTACTGAGGCCTACAAAAAGGTGAAGAACATGAGAAATATCAAACCTAAGTAAAAGTTTGAAGGTACATAATAATGTCTTATCCGATTCAGCGCTTGTTGTGCCTTATTAAAAAGGCACGACACGTTCACCTCATTCATTTTTGCCTGGTCCTTCTCGGTCACCAGGCATCGGAGTTAGCTCGCTACTCCCATAGGAGCAGAAAGAACTCGGGCATCCTCCGGGACAGTGATGATTATTCTCTTACAACCATAATCCGCACTCGATGCAGGGAACTGGTTGATTAACTTTGGGCTCGAACTCGGCCAGCCAACTTTCGAAGACGGATCCTTCCTCAGCATTTCTAGGTTGCCCATCCCGGAAAAATCTTCCAAAACAGACGAGTCCACACCATTGAAAAGGGAACAAAGGGGATCGTCTGCGCCATGAACCCCTTCATCGGACCTCTCCTTCCCTGCTTAGGCCTCCTCGAGCATGGACTTGGTGTAGGAAGGCGACCCTGAAATATCTATTATACTGGGCGCTTCCTTCGGAGCAGAGCCAGTATCTCGGGGAGTCTTAGAACCCGTCTCCACATCAACCTCCCAAATCGGAAGGAGATTGACCTCATGAATCTCCCCCTGGATAGTTGCCTAATCCTCGAGAGGGGTCGTCCCGTGGGCCACAAAAAATTATCTTCTTTGGGCTCATCCCTAAGCCGAAGAAGCGAGTCCGAGTCGGGTGCTCGGGAGCCAGAACTTTTCTTTGGCTTACGAGTCAACCTTTTCTTTGGATTCTTATCCATGTCGGGGAGCCCGAAGCCTTCCTTTTCCTCTTCTTATTATCCCCCGTTGCGGCCCCGAGTTGTCCCAAAACAGAGGAATCAATGGAGAAGGACACATCCTCGTCTCCTTCTAAAGGCCTAAGCTCAGTGGTCTTAGGCAAAACTACAAAAAGAAAAGAGAGGGAAGAAGAGTAAGTATGATGCAAATAGGAAAGCCTGATTTTACCTATTCGGGGAAAGGCCTTACATGAGAATGGGCCTCTCATCGGCCTTTCGAGAGTTTGCACCATGAGCTCTCGGAATAAGGAATCTGTGAAGAAATACCCTCGATCCAGTCCTTGAACCGAGGATAGCATTAGGGACTCGAGCAGCGGTTGCAACACCATGATTACTAGTGAGCAGAAAGGAGATAAATATAAAATTGACATTTAAATGAACTGTACTTACGAGATGCATTCCACTTCTTAGTGAANGGGCTTTGCTGGCCCGACGTGTAAGTTTTATTGGTCCCCCTCGGAAGATTCAGGGGCTATATAGAAGGAGTATGTGACTGATGGTAAACCGATGAGACTCGGTCTTGTTCACGATGTAACAAAGGAGGATCACGACCCTCCATAATGATGGATGGATCTGCCCGAGGCATACTTCGTACCTCTTACAAAAATCTAAAGTAACCGGGTCCACCGGGCCCAATATGAAGGATAAGTGTAAACACTTAGGTACCTCTCCACGTGGGTAGTTATGGCGGCATTGGGCCCGGGGACTACTACGTCCTTATTTTCCCAATTGCAATCCCTTCGGACCACATGAAGTACATCTTTTGTAATGGAGCATATATACCTCAACGCTCTTTCACCTCGGTCCTGCATTGACGAAGGTTTTTCGACCTTAAAGTCATCTCCAACTGAGCAACCCCCGGGGATAAATATTTTTAAGGGAGGTTCGGGGGCCGGTTCGTTAACAACCGCATCATGAGCAGACGTCTCGAGGACGACTATATCAGGATTAGCCACCATATCCATGCCCAACCAGATGTCACGGTGTAAATCTCGGTCCGTATCAGTGATGGATCGTTGATTAGTGAAAGGAAAGATTTTTACATTTTTTAGAATTGTACTTAGGGTAAAATTCCCCTACTATATAAAGGAGAAACTAATTATTCATTAGAAACATACTGTAACATACATACCAAGACAATATACTTCTGTTTCTGAAAGTTATTCAAAGTTTTTGTTCCTATTCATAAGTTCTTCACAAGTGTAAGCCCGGAACTGAAAGGCAGGCCCTTTGTTAAGCCTTTAATCAAGCCCGGATTCATTCTTAGCATTGGTTTGGTCATTTGTTACGTCTTTTATTTGCTTAATTTAACGTCATAGAATCATTTGTATTGAACTAATCTATGTATCCTTAAAATCGCATATAAATTCAATTGTTATCCGTTTTGAAAGTAAACATATTGTATAGAAAAAGCAGATAAAGTAGTACACTTCTAGACAAGAACTTCCATATAAATAAATTATCTCTTTATTTAAAACTACCCAACAAAACTGAACTAATGACCAGTTATACAAGAAAATGATACTCATGAGAAATGAGCCTTCTTTTCCTTTGTCCTTTGGAAAGTTGGAAATATGTATACACAGCAGTATCTCTATCTTACTTACTGTAATGAGAATCAATTATACTTATATTAATAATCATGCATTAGTATTAATTTGTTTTAAAAACAACTTTTTGGAATGACGGTGCCACCATGTCTGCCATGTGCATTTCTACAGTAGGTTAAAGCTGGCCTTCTCAATCGATAATCCACGAAACTGAGCTTTATATCTTGCAATTTAATACCAGTACATGGAGTTGTATTACTGCAATCTAATTTTATTGCTTGTTGGGTGGATGATGTTCCCTTCACATTCTTGTATGTCACTTCACTCACCTTCACTCCTGAACCCTACATTAAGAACAATCATATGTTCAGAATTCAATATAATAATTATTACGTCTCAATCACAAGTAAGTTGCGGTCGGTTATATGCCTGGTGAGGACAGTTGTCTTCGGGGCAATAGTTTTGATCAATGAGGATGGGGAACCCAACATTCCTCATAACAAGGTTTCTGAACATGAGATTTTTAGCATAGCCATCACTTGGCCTTGCCCATGACTTTATCCTTACACCATTTTGTGTTTTAGTGAATACTGAATTTGCCACTGTTATATTTTGAACTCCTGCTTCGTTATAGCTGTTTGCTAAACTCCCTATGCTGCAAAAGGAAAACCAAATCTTCATGATTTCATTCTTCTTGTTATAAAAAGAAGGGGGGGGGGGGGGGGAAATTTTTTT